CCATGGAATCTTGTGACTTTACTCACTCAACAAGTACCTTGAATCTCATACGTTGGCCCCAATCTGGATTGTAATGCAAATTAACTGGCCTGTTCGTATGTTCACTGTCATCAGTAGTGGGGGTTTGCTCCTTTCCTGTTAAACCTTACTTCAAACAGTCATCGTCGAGTTGTTTGGTAACACATAACTTGAGCATTGCGGAAAGAAAAGACCAACCTTTATATCTTACACTCATCAGGACAATTCACAAGAATAACTTGTAAAGGAGAAACAATATTAATACTGTATGAGAGGAGAGAGTTGATTGCTTGGCAAGTCAACTCTAATTAGTACAGCCATTGCCATGGAGAATGCACTAGTTAGATGACAATTTGTTTAAATTTTAAACGAGGCAGGTGGATCCTGATCGGTTAAAGTATTGCCCTAATAAGTGTTTTTGTTGAATTTAAACAGGCAATCTATGTGTCCATGTTCCTTCTGTATGCAAAGAACAGGGTGCTGTGTATTATTATATTTAGCTTCCTGTACTTAATACGGGTACCACGCAGCAAGCCAGAATAAAAATCCCAAACTGGTTGTCAGTATAATTCTTTGCACACAGGATTATTCAAAAATTGTCCAATCCAGCACAACCTGCAAGCATTACCATCAAGTCAAGGAATCAACCCTGATTCAGTGGAGAGTGCAGGAGCACAGGAGCACATCAAGGAGCAGCATAAGGCATGCCTAAAATATGAGGTGTCAACTTGGTGAAGCTACCAAACAGGACTACTTGCGCGCCAAACAGCATAAGCAACAAGTGATAGACAGAGCTAAGCCATTCCACAATCAACAGATCAGATCAAACTTCTGCAGTCATGCCACATCCAGTCGTGAATAGTGGTGGTCAATTAAACACCTCACTGGAGGACAAGGCTCCACAATATCCCCATCCTCAATGATGGAAGAGCCCAGCACATCAGTGCAGAAGATATGGCTGAAGCATTCACAGTAATCTTCATCTAGAAGTGCCGAGTGGATGATCCATCTCAGCCTCCTCTAGTGGTCTCCAGCATTACAGATACCAGTGTTCAGCCAATTCAATTCAGTCCACGTGATACTAAGAAACAGTTGGAGGCACTAGATACTACAAAGACCATGGGGCCCACAAAATTCCAGCAACAGTACCGAAGACTTGTGCTCCAGAACTTGCCACTCCCCTAGCCAAGTTCTCCCAGTACAGTTACAACACTAGCATCTACCAACAAGGTGGAAAATTGCCCAAGTATGTCTTGTACTCAAAAAGCAGGACAAATCCAACCCAGTCAATTTTAGCCCCATCAGTCTACTCTCGATCATCAGTAAAGTGATGGAAGGTGTTATCAACAGTGCTATCAAGCAGCACCTGCTCAGCAATAAGCTGCTCACTGATGCCCAGTTTGGGTTCTGCCAGGGCCACTCAGCTCCTGATCTCATTACAGCCTTGGATCAAACATGGACAAAAGATCTGAATTCCAGAGGTGAGGTCAGAGTGACAAACATTCACATCAAGGCCTCATTAAATTAGTGTGGCATTAAGGAGCCTTGGCAAAACTGGAATCAATGCATACCAGTGGCAAATTGTCTGCTGATTAGTGTCATACCTAGCACATAGGAAGACGTTTGTGCTTGTTGGAGGTCAGTTCAGCTCCAGGACATCTTTGCAGCAGTTCCTCAGGGTAGTGTCCTAGGCCCAACCATCTTCAGTTGCTTCATCAACGTTTCCTCCAATCAGAAAGTCAGATGTTCACTAACGACTGCAGAATGTCCAGTACCGTTTGCAGCTCCTCAGATCCTGATGCAGTCCATGTTCAAATGCAACAAAATCTGAACAATAGCCAGGCTTGGGCTGACAAGGGGCAAGTAACATTCGTGCCACATAAATGTCTGGCAATAACCATGTCAATGAAGAAGCAACCTAACCACTGTCCCTTGACATTCAATTGTGTTCCCATCATAGAATGCCCCACTACCAACATCCTGGGGGTTATCATTGACCAAAAACTCAATTCAATTTGCCACATAAACACAGTGGCTACAAGAGCAGGTCAGAGGCTAGGATTACTGCAGCGAGTAACTCACCTTCTGACTCCCCAGAGTCTGTCCACCATCGACAAGGCACAAGTCAGGAGTGTGATGGAATACTCCCCCCATTTGTCTGGATGAGTGCAGCTCCAACAACACTCAGGAAGCTTGACACCACCTAGGACAAAGCAGCCTATTTGATTGGCACTACATCCACAAATATCCACTCCCTCCAACACTGAAACTCTGTAGCAGCAGTCTGCACCATCTACAAGATCCACTGCAGAAATTCACCAGATATCCTCTGACAGCACCCTCCAAACCTATGACCATTTCCATCTAGAAGGACAGGGGCAGCAGATACATGGGAGCACCACCACCTGCAAGTTCCCCTCCAAGTCACTCACCACCTGACTTGGAAATATATCCTTGTTCCTTCACAGTTGTTCAGTCAAAATCCTGGAACTCCCTCCTAAAGGCATTGTGGGTCAACCCGCAGCATGTGGGCTGCAGAAGTTCAAGAAGGTAGCTCATCGCCACCTTCTCAAGGGCAACTAGGGATGGGCAATTAAACGCTGGCCCAACTAGCGATGCCCACATCCCACGAATGAATTTAAAAAGAAATCACAGAATCAAATCAAATGTTGGACAAAGTGTTTTGAGTTTTGTAAACATTTATTGGTTGGGTACGGTTAGTATCTTTACTGTTGTGATGAGTTGAAGGGATTTGCTGTTTCATACAATCTCCCAGTGTTTGGGATGCATACCTGGCATCACACCAATACTGAAATTCATATACCACAGCACTCATCTGGGACAGGCAGATACCTTTTAAGTGTTGTAATTGTTCTCACCTCCATCACTTCTTCTGGCAGCTCGTTTGATATACACACCACCCTCTGTATGAAAAGCTTGTTCCTCAGGTCCCTTTTAAATATTTCTCCTCTCACCTTAGACCTCTAGTTTGGACTCCTCTACCCTGGGAAAAAGACCTTGGCTATTTACCCTATCCATGCCTGTTATGAATTTATATATATAGGTTACTGCTCAGCCTCTCATGCTCCAGGGAAAGAAACCTCAGCCTATTCAGCCTCTCCCTATAGCTCAAACCCCCCAATCCCAGCAACATCCTTATCAATCTTTTCTGAACCCTTTCAAGTTTAACAACATCTTTCCTATAGCAGGGAGACCAGAATGGTACACACAGTATTCGAAAAATGGCCTTACCAATGACCTGTACATCCGCAACATGATGTCCCAACTCCTATACTCAATATACTGACCAATGAAGGCAAGCATGCCAGATCTTTCAGAGATAGCAAGAACTGCAGATGCTGGAGTCAGAGACAACACAGTGTGGAGCTGGAGGAACACAGCAGGCCAGGCAGCATCAGAGGAGCAGGAAAGCTGACGTCTCGGGTCAGGACCCTTCTTCAGAAATGGGGAGGGGGAAAAGGACCTGGGAAATAAAGAGAGAGAGGAGGGGTGGGGCTGGAGAAGGTAGGTGGGATGGTGATAGGTGAGTGCAGGTAGGGAGTGGTGGGGATTGGTCAGTGGGATGGGAGGGGTGGATAGGTGGGAGAGAAGGTGGAAAAGGTTGTGTCAGGTCAAGGAGGTGGGGATGATAGGGAGCGTTGGACATGGGATGAGGCTGGGAGTGGGGAGATTTTAAAACTGGTTTTAAAACTAAATCTTTATTGCCTGTTGGCAGTTTCCTGTTAATGGTGAACACTGACCATGTTATTACTGCACAACAGCAGTGTGAAAAGCAGGTTTTACCTGTTGCTTTAATGTTTTAATCTTCCAGGGTAATCCAAGCTAATCTGTGCACTTCTCTGGGCCAAATGTGACATCCCTCGGTCCATTCATTAGTTTGCATAATATACAGTGAGAAATGATCTGATCAGGGTAACCATCATCCCACAGGATGTAACTCAAAAAGACGTAGGGGTGCAGGTGCATAGTTCCTTAAAAATGTAGTCACAAGTAGTCAGGACAATGAAGGTGGTGTTTGGCACGCTTGCCTTCATTGGTCAGTGCAATAAGTATACAAGTTGGGACGTCATGTTGTGGATGTACAGGACATTGGTGAGGCCATTTTTGGAATACTGCATTCAATTCTGGTCTCCCTGCTTTAGGAAAGATGTTGTTAAACTTGGAAGGTTTTAGAAAAGATTTGCAAGGATGTCGCCAGAATTGGAGGGTTTGAGCTATAGGGACAGGCTGGGGATATTTTCCCTGGAGCATCAGGGGCTGAGGGGTGACTTTATTGAGGTTTTTAAATTCATGAGGGGCATGGATAGGGTAAATAGCCAAGGTCTTTTTCCTAGGGTAGGGGAGTCCAAAACTAGACGGCATACGAATAAGATGAAAGGGGAAAGATTTAGAAGGGATCTGAGCAGCAACTTTTCACGCAGAGGGTGGCGTGTGTATAGACAAGCTGCCAGAGGAGTGGTGGAAGTGGGTACAATTAAATATTTAAAAGACATCTGGATGGGTACATGAATAGGAAGGGTTTAAAGGGATATGGGCCATATGTTGGCAAATGGGACAAGATCAGTTTAGGATATCTGGTCAGCGCAGATGAATTGGACTGAAGGGTCTTGTTTCCACGCTGTACAACTCTGATTCCATAAGTGTATAACTCAACAAAATAGGTGATAGCCATTCTGTGGTTGATTTCTCAGGGAATAGCTTATACTAAGCAGAGAAAACTTGCCTGGTTTAAAATTTAAGCAAAGTTTGGCAGTTAACTGTCAGTCATCATCTAACTGGTGCATTCTCCATGACAATGTTTGTACCAGAGTCCACTTGCCAAGTAATGAGCACTCTTCTTTCATACAGTATTAATATTACTTTTCCTTTACATTGCTTTCTTGTGAATGCTCCTGATGTACGCAAGACAAAAAGCGTTGACAAAATGTACTTTTGTCAGCAGTACTCAAGTGATAATTTACCTCATATTTGTTAGGGGCGATGAAGTTCAGGGCCTCATCAGGATCATGAAGGATAGAGAAAGCCAACTCTTGAACTTCCTGTAAAAATAGGAAAGAAAACATCTAACATGAAGTGCAAAAATGAGATGGCTTCCATTTACGAATTCTGTAGTTGCTGTTTTATGATACTCAAATAGGTTATATTGTGGATCTCAGTTTCTCCAATAGACATTTTCCACAAACTAATACACATCCCAGTTATAATATCAGACTTAAAGAAGTCCTCATTACATGACAAACAGAATGCAAACCTCTAGAAGGTTCATAAGCTATTTAAAAATGATTATGATCCAACGTGATGATATTACTGGGCAAGTCAGATCACAGAATGAAACCTGGCTTGACAGATTTTTTTTCTTTAAAAAAAGAGGTTGCAGATAGTTAATGTGGTGGTTTGCCTCTGAAATGCATTCACATGTGGCTGCAGATGTCCTTTTACAAACGGCATGTTTACAACACAGATAAGGAAGAAAAAACAAATCAAGCTAAATAGAGAATAAATGTACAAGACAATTTTTAAAAATCTTGAAGCAGAAAAATCTAAGGACCTTCAGTTTCTCAATTGGATAACTTGCGAAGTTCTATTCAAACTCTCCTGGCCTAGAAACTTTACAAATGATCATTTCTGCTGAGATCACTGGCTTCCTTGAACTGAACTGTTCATCCAGCCCTGCACCTTGTTGTCTTGGAAAAACTCCTACCAGGAGGGAAAAATAAAACTCGTTTCTGAACTCAATCGAAAACAAAATAAATAACCTTAAATTTGTTTAGTCTACCTGTCATAGACTCAACAGCATGAACATCTTTCTGTCAACGCCACAGGGGTCTAAGCAATGTTGGACTTGGGCAACTGTTCATAAATAACATGGTGACCTTTTAAAAAAGCAATAATCAAAATCCACGTGCCTCTCTTTTTAAAACAATCAAGTTCCAAAGTGATAGTATTGTATGACTTTTTATCTTTTATTACAGGTGTCACACTAGGACTCATGAAACTATGTATTTATAAACTGTGGCAGAAGTAAAGCTCAGTCTCACTACAAGCAAATCTCCAATACATATTTTGAATATGAAAATTTCACAGACCAGTATATTGCAAATTAATACATAAGTACAGGTATATGTACACATACACTATCGATTCACATTGTAAATACACACGCACACATAAAGATGAAAATAGTGTGTATGGAAAATGAAAAAGATTTGGGAGTCTTGATTGACAATTTACTGACACCAATTATTAAAAGGTTTAATGCTCAGCTGAAGTTGTCTGGTCGTTCTGCCACTCTGTAAACCATTGGTGCAACTGTAGTTGGATTACAGTGTACAGTTCTGTCACGATGGTACAGGAAGGATATTGCAGTTATTGATAGGATACAGAAGACAGAGTAACCAGAATGACTGACAGGTTGGAGGGACTGGATCCCGAAGAATTACATGAATTAGACATGATTTCATTGGGAGGAGAAGGCAGCAGGGTGATATAATTACCATTTCCTGGATTTTAAAGGGATGAGATGATACAGACCATAAACAGCCACTTCATCTCATCCAGTAAAACCACAAAGATAGGGGAAAGGGTGCACAGAGGGTTTGGAATTGAAAACTAATCTGTGGAAATAACAGTTTCCAGAAGGTGACAGTGGAAAGTAGTTAGTATAATTTTAATCAAAGACAAAAGAGACAAGAGATGAAGGAAGCAAGGAAAAGGAGACTTTCATTTCTACACAGTGTGGAGCTGGAGGAACACAGCAGGCCAGGCAGCATCAGAGGAGCAGTCAAGTTGACGTTTCAGGTCACGACCCTTCTTCAAAAATGGGCAGGGGGATGGGACTTGGGAAATAAATAGAGAGGGGAGGGGTGGAGCTGGAGAAGGTACGTGGGATGGTGATAGGTGAGTGCAGGTAGGGAGTGGTGGGGATTGGTCAGTGGGATGGGTGGGGTGGATAGGTGGGACAGAAGGTGGACAGGTTGTGTCTGGTCAAGGAGGTGGGGATGGGGTGGGGGTGGGGGTGGGGGAGGGGG